TTGTACATGTAGATGCCTGTCACTTCTTGTCCTTCCATTTATCTAAATGTCACAGGTATCTTGACAGCAATAAGAACACTCTCTTGTTTCATCAACTGCATCTAGCAATCCTAAGCAGTATCAAACCCAAGCACCTCAAGCAGACAACTATTTTATGTTTCATACCGGTATTTATAGTCAACCAATTGTGTATAAAGCTCTCTGCATTGAATCACTTGCAATCAAGGAAAACTTGTGACATGGATTTCTTACCATGAGAGGTTGTAAGAATTACCTGTAAATTGAACAATCTTTACCTACAGTGTATGTCATTTCCGCTTTTTTGTTTATTTGTTAAAGGTAAAATATGACCTACAATTATTCATACTAGTTCTGTATCCAAACAAAAGTTTCTCAATACTCATTTTGTTAAAGTTGAGACTCAGTAAAGATTATTTCAATATTACAGGTACTGTGTACATTGGAACACTTATACCCTCAACAGTTTAAGAGAGATAAAAGTCCTTGCCAATTACTCGTACAGGCACAGGCTGGCATACATGTACGTTTGGTGAGAGCGCAGTCCTTTCGCTGTTCCATGCTTCAATCACTACAAAAAATGACTCTCTGCAATAAGAAAACGAGCAAGGACAGGATTTCCTAGAGTACATGAACTTCAGTCATTCTGTGAAGTGGGCCGACATATATTTCTATTGCAATGAAAAACATAAAACATTAACAGCAATAGGCACTGCATAGTGACAAGATGTCTCCTGGGCACTGAAGTCTGCCGCCCCTATTCCCTTAACAAGTTCTCTTAAGAACGTTGACATTTTGCAGTGTTCTGCCTGAGGGGCTGTGCGTCTTACTGAAATGAAGACACTGAGAAACAGAGACAACAGTAGGAGGCCTTGGAGATTGCAAGGTGTGTGGGAGTATAACCATGTTATTGCTAGAAGGATGGATGGGAGCAATGAAGAAAAGATGTGCCTCAGGGTTTGATGCTACTCTAGCTCATAAGTAGGGGATGTACCAGTAGTTGGGATGCTTAGTCCACTACAACACAAGCTGGAATGTCATCTGCTGGAATGCATACTCCATGAACCTCTGGGAAGAATGGCTCCTTTTACATTTCAAGCTTTCAAAAAGCAATCAAGACAGATATCAAAAAACCTTTACAAATCTGACCAAGTTAGAGTTTATACCCTCTTCATTGTGTAAGTTTTTACTATTAAAATGCCGACTTGTAAAGGAAATGTAAGCTGTGTACAGAGGACTAAACTTACTTCACAAGCAGTGCTCAGCTTTACCAACCATCCTGAACACTATTGAAATACAAAAACCCACTCAACCCTTTTGAGTGTTAAATATACATGTATATGTGTAAATAAAATCAATCTGTGATTACTACAGAATGAAAGTATTTAATTTACAATCCACCCAAACTCAACTCTTACAAGGGACAAAAATGCCAATTTTGTCATTTCTACTTCCAATCCTTTTGACTAGACACAGTATCAGTAAATCTGCATCTAGGTGAAATCTTGTAACAGAATAATAACAGATATTTCTAATCCAAATCCACACATTCCTGAAATCCAGATCAATGCCTCCAGTCATCACAACTTCCTCATAAATATTTCTCAGTTTTCTTTGGAGTTTTTATCCAAAATAACCCAAAATAAAAACTACATGTATTCCCAGGAATATAATGAGCATTCTCAATATACTGAGGTTGACTTGCTACATCGTCAGCTTAGAACAATTCGTCAATGCACTGCACATTGAATTCATTACGCAGGAAATTGTTCCTAACGACAGTAGGGAATTCAGTCACTTCTTGAAGAGAACAGAGTGAGCAGGAAAAAAATGACTGAAACAGAAAATAAATTAAAGAGAATGTGACAACCATGTCTAAAATGGGTAACTGGGAAAAAATTATAAATTAAATTTACCACGAATAGTTGAACAGAAATGAAACAGAATACGGGTAGAAACCTGCAAATGTAGAAAACAAAATTTGATGAAAGAATTCTACCCACTGTAGGTACATGTACATGTACGCTCTGCTCCTTTAAGACAGGTGTCTGGTCTAGTCTTCATCCATATTCCGCTGAGTTCCTAGGGGTCTTTCCTCACATTATAGAGGCACTAAGGCAAGCAGCGACAGTGCAGGTGTGAAAGCTAAGAAGGTAATCAAATATCTAGAAGGCCTGAAATGTCACGTTGGGCCGGTCATCTCCAGGAGCTACTCCGAGCTTGACAAGAAAGATAACTAGCTCAATCTTGGAAGTTGCGTGCCCTGCCCTGCTTGACAAGAACAAAATAATCCTGTTGACAGTGAAGAGATTTTAACTGACAAAGTACAGCTCAAGATGGAGTGTATGTATTCCCTAAACTCCAACATTCTTCAGCAAAAAACCACGACCAAATTTCAATCTCTGAAGATGAGATACACGTATCGGATAAAACCTGGTTTGGTACAGGACTGTTATGCATGTTGCAGAGAGCATGATGTATGACTGTCTCATAAACAATGTCCACATTCTGAGGAATCATTCTCGAAATGAGCAGACTATTACAAGCGTGTTTCCGCTAACATTTTACACAACATACCAGCAGCATGACTGAGCTGACTCCAATTCTTACTGTCTATATTCCATGGAAGAGTGTTTATTTAAAACCCTGACATCTCTTTAATGTAAACTGTCTGAACCATCACTCCATAGAATGACATCTTCAAACGACAACTGAAATACCCAGCAGACTAACTGAAATCTAATTTAGTGCACCCATAACTAATGAAAGAGATGACAGCCGATTTGTGTGTTGTTTTGTCAGATGGAATTCCCAGTGCCCCAACAGTCTCTCAGTGAGGCATGAGCTTGATAAATTTGCCATCACTGAAGTAAAACGTTTGCTGGACTGCAACCCAGTATAGTGCTTTTCTTACCAGTATTACACCAGTTGAGTTGGTATCAAAAGATGGGTTAACTATAATAACAGAAATCATGAAAGATACAGACTGGCATTGTTAGAGTAAATTCTCATCACTATGGTGAAGTGACACCTTAAACAGCTTAATATCATCTCTCATCTATCTTCAACCAACTGTCAAAGTGTATTTACAACTAGTATCCCCAGCTCTAACAATGCCCCGAACAAATCCCACCAATAACTACCGGTATGGTATACAATACGAGTTGGCGTTTCAATTTGTGTAATCAAACACAAGCCTTAGACAAGCTCAA